TTTTTATTTAAAATTTATTTATAATATTATATATATTAACTCATTTAATACATCATTGTATTTATTTAATTACAATCTTAGAAGGAGATTCTAACCATAACATTGCGGAATCCAAATTTCCAATTGCCTCCTCGTGCGGCTAATGAACGGTAGACGTTTGTCTGTCACTTTTTTTTTTTTTTTACATCAACAACATGTGACGTTAAGTTCAGATACCGTTGTACACCGTAACTGTCTTACGTAGATCTATGTTGCCTTCCCACTCCTCTCTTCTTTTCTTTTGTTTCTCAACAAAAACCCTAATTTACCCATTTCTCTCTCTCTCTTTCTCTCTTCCACCAATTTCTCAAAATCCAAAACCCTATCTTTCCATTTCTGATGTCGACGGCGCGGGAAGAGAGCAGTCGGTACGACGCTGGGTCAGGGGCGGGGGGGAAGTTCAAGAAGCGGCCTTTTCGAAGGACTACCCAGGGGACGCCGTACGATCGGCCGCCGACTGCAATAAGAAATCCTGGCAATGGCAACGGCAATGGTTGGTTCTCGAAATTGGTGGATCCGGCCCAGCGGCTAATCGCTTACGGTGCTACTAGGCTCTTTGCTTCTGTGTTTCGGAAACGCCTTCCTGCTCCACCTCCTCCGCCACAGCCGCCTGAGCCGGGTGAGAAATTGGTTGGCTCTTTTTTTCTTTTCTTTTTTTTTCTTTTTTTTATTTGAAATTTGATTCTTTGCCTCCCTCCCTCCCTCTCTCCCTCCCTCCCTCCTTTTCGTTTTTTTGCTAAATGTCTGTGATGACAATGTTATTGTCTGCTTTTATTTGGCGATGAAACTTATATTATTTTTTATGAGGTGTGGGTTTGGTTGTCACTTCTCATTAATTTAATTGTCCTTTCAATTTATGCTACCAGAGGAAACAAGGGAGGATCATCCAGAAGCAGCTTCAACAGTAAGTATTAAAGGATGGCTTATATTGGGTGATTGAAGTTTCTTTTGTGCTATGGTTTTCTTTTCACAATTTGAATTTGGTTGGTTAGTCAAATTAATATGGTTGTATTTCTTCCAAAAATTTGAAAATAAAGGACCGCCCTGCCAGGCAAGAAGGAGCCCTTGATAAATGTGACAATCCATGTAATCACCCTGGAGGCGAATATACTGAACTTGAGCATATCTTGAAGCAGAAGACATTCACCAGGCAAGATACTTTATATACTATTTTTTGAAGTTTCCTTTGATAGCAAATTGAAGTACTTAGGAGTTGCTAATCACACAGTGTGTGTCTAGGAGAATGTAGTTATTTCTATACTTTTGTTTACTAATTTTGGCATGTTGCTATCTGGCATTGATTTTGATAGTATAATATATATCCCACACTAATTGATTTTGTTTCACATTTAGTTCACACATGGTCGATCATGCTTAGTATCATTCTTGTTGTTGAGTGCTTGCAAAAAGGTTCATGTTTCAAGAATTGTTCTGTCTGTGACAAGAGAACTTTGCCTCCTTCAATTCCTATGTTATTCATCCAAGAAAAAAGTGATCCATCTTTGATGGTATTTTTTATTAATTTAAACTTTCATGAACCTACTTTAGCCTTGAGGTATTATAGTTTTGTTTGTCCTGTTCTGTGGTTATTTAACATTATTTTTCTTAATGCCATTGATTATTGACTCAACAGGGCTGAGACTGATCGTTTGACCACCCTTTTACGTTCAAGAACTTTTGATAATGCTAGTGGAACTGAAGAGAAGAGGTCTGAAGTAAAACTGGTAGCATTGTGTGACAGTAAAAAAGAATTTCCAAACACCGCTGTCAGAGAAAATGGCACTGAGAGACATTCTATATCAACTCCTGCTGTCATTTCAAATGTAACAAAGGTTTTTTCTCTTTAATTTTACATTGTGATTGAAACTATCTCAAGTTCTTTTTTGTTGTTCTATGTGATGGGAAGTAGAATTGAACATAAAATTGTAGTCAAGATAATTATTCACAGATGATGATTGAAATGCTTGCAGGTCCGCAATGAAGATGTTGCTTCACCCGCAGAGCTTGCAAAAGCTTACATGGATGGTAGGCCTTCCAAAAATTCTGCACCATTGCTCAGTTTAAGGAGTCAAGCACATAGGGAAGATTCATCTGAGTTGAGTGGTAGACTATTCCCTTCAAAACCACGAGTTATGTCACTTGTGCCAATGTCTTCTGGCCATGTTGGAGGCCTTGGAAATGGCTTTGTGACGCCTAGATCCCTAGGTAGATCAGCGATATACAATATGGCACGAACACCTTATTCAAGAGCCAACTCAACCGCTACCCTTAAGGTATATCTGCCTGGGGAGCTCTCCTCTCATTGTGGGTGGATAGGGTTTTCTTTATATTGTTCTGGACTGCTAATTTTTTTCCATTCATTCTCAAGATTGCTGGGCCCCCAACTGATGCTTTTGCTGGACCATCATCATCATCATGGTCTCAGAGTGCTTGGGAGCAAAGCAGACTTTCTGTATCTAGACAAGTGGTAGTAGTGCTTGAAATAGTTGGAAGCTATTTCTTGGTCTTCAAAATTTGTATTGAGGTCAGAATCCTAAGATTTAATTCTTCTTTTGCAGGCATTAAAGCGCAGGGTAGACAATGATATAGGTTCTGTTGGTCCTATTCGTAGGATACGTCAGAAATCTAATCTTCTTTCTCAAAAGAGTTTGGGCTTACCAGTTTCTGAAAGTCCTCTTTCTATCCATGAAGGTGGATCTGGTTCAGTTGTTCAAAACTCTTTATCTTTGATAGAGAAACCATTTTCATCTGGTGAAGCTAAGGTTACCTTTACAAAAACATCAACTGAGAATGGGATTAACAGCTCCCCTGGTACAAGTTTTACACCTGTTCCTTCCAAATCCAGTCAGATGGCTTCAAAAATATTGCAGCAGCTTAATGAGTTGGTCTCTACAAGGGAAAAGTCACCTACAAAATTTTCACCACCCATGCTCAGTGGTCCGGCTCTTAAAAGCCTGGAGAATGTGGACTCAAAGTTTTTGGAGAACTTAAAAGATAAAAGTAAGTTTGATGGTGCCACATTGCCTGTCATCCAAGACTCCACGTCTCACAAGCAGGATAAAGTTGAAGAAAATGGCAGAACAAAACTGGTTTCTCCTCCAGATAAGTCGGTTCCTTTGGTAAATGGTATTGGTACTTCTAATTTGTTTAAGGCTAATGTGCCTAGTGCTAATGGTGCCGATTCCCTTGTGATGAAGTCAGTGGTAGACGTCCCTCAACAAAAGAAACAGGCTTTCCAGATGAGTGTACAAGACGTATGTTGGTTCTTGTTTTCTTGCCTTTCTTGTTCCCATTTATATTTCTTTAAAATTTATAGTTCTCTACATGTAGGATTATTTGGATCTGGATGATTACAGTGACCATCTTAAGGGAGCTGCATCTACTTCATTTAAAGTAGCGGGGGAAAAGTTGGATAGTTCAGTCATAGGGAGTCAGAACACTGCTCTTGAAGCCATAAAAGCTGACAAGACTGCTACATTTACTGGAATTAAACCATTTCCAAGTTCAGCATTGAATCAAACACCTAATTTGGGTACTTATGATGGTTCTATGATTGCTGAACAGAAGGCTAGTACTAATTCTGCTGCTAATTTGCCCACCACTTCTTCCCAACCTGTGGTTCTGGCTTCTCAGTCAACTTTAATGATTGATAAACCTGTTTCAAAGGAATCAGATGCTGCTTTTCCTATGTTCAACTCTGGGGAGAAAACTGCCCAGACAAAGGAACAAAATGCTACTGTTCCTACATTTTCCTTTGGCTCTGCTGCTGTCAACAAAGTTCAATCTGATGCTGAAACTTCAGGCTTTAAGTTTGATGGCTGCTTGGATTCAAAATTGAGAAATTCAAGCAGGTCTGTACTCTTGTGCTTCTTTGAACTTCTTTAACATCTACTTTTCAGCAGGATGCTGTCTTCCATTTTCTGATATTGATGTTTTTGGAATGTAATTTGAGTGTTCTGCAAATTTTGCCTTTTATTTCTGAGTGGATTTATTAAGAAATTTAAACAAAGCAGAAAATTAGGATTTTTTGTGTTGGTGGGATGAAGATAGGGAGAGAGATCTTTCTAATTCAGATATATGATCTTCTAAAACCTTTCATTTCTTGTTTTACATGCAGCATTGAGTCTGTTGCTACTGCAGCAAATCATATGGCAAAATCAGCTGAATCAGATCAAGCTGATAGCAAGAATACTTTAAAGGCAGGATTCTTCTTTAGTGCCTCCGAAACTGCAAGCAGTTCTGCTGTGCCAACAACATCATCAACTGGAAACATATTCAAATTCAGTGCTGTGGCAAATAATTCTAATGGATCATTTGCTTCAAGCCCTTCTCCATTCTCTTCCCAGACTCAAATGTTAATTCCCAACAAACTTGTCGGTCAAAGCATGTTCAGTGGCCCTACCAATGCCATTTCCACCATTGCCACTTGTGCCACTGCTGCCACTGCAGCAACTGGAATAACTGCCACTACCAGCACAATCAGTGCCACCCCCCAGGCTACAGTTTGTTCCTTTACCAGTCCAGACAACTTTAAATATGCTTCCCCTGTGCCCTCATCAAACCAGTTTTCAACGCAAATTGTAAGTTCCAGTGAAACAACTGAATCCCAGACCAAGGATTCAAATCTGGCAACTGCTCCCTTTGCTGGTACCTCAGCATTTTCTGCAGTCATGAATAATACAAGTAACCGTTCTGGTGGCACATCTTCTGCAGTCATGAGCAATGGGACTAACCCTTTCAGTGGTCTGTCTTCTACAACCACAAAAGCATCCAGTAGCATTTTTGGAACATCTGCTCCCATTTCAAGCACCAGTTTTGGTGTTACATCTTCAGCAACCCCTAGCACAGGGACTAGTATCTTTTCCAGTGCATCTGCAAGCACAAGTATGGTTGGAAATGTATTTGGATTCAGTGCTCCAGCTACAACAATGTCCTTTACCCAGTCTCAGAGTACAAATTCTTTTCCTGTTGGTAATTCCCAGTCATCTGCAGCTGGAAGTGGTGTTCCAACCTCAACTCAGAGCATGCCTATTCAGTCTCCTTCACTTGCAACATCTCCATCATTTGGAGTGGCAGGGAACACAACATTTTCTTCTGGGGGTTCACTATTTGGTTTGTCTGCTTCTGTGTTACCTACTTTTGGTTCTGGGGTTACATTTGGACAAAGTTCTTCCTCATCAGTTAGCAATGCTGCTAGCACCAGCAGTGCCACTGCTTCCAGTTTGTTTGGTTCCAGTTGGCCAGCACCTAAGACTCCCATCTTTGGTTCAACTTTTAGTTCTACATCTTCGTCAACTGGGTTTTCCTTTGGAGCATCCTCAACTTCTATAGCTGGTAATGCAAGTGCTTCTATGGTTTTCGGATCATCCAACATTGCCTCGTCGAGTTCCATTTTTCCATTCACTTCACCTGCGGCTGCTACTCCGTCACAACCTGTTTTTGGTAGCAATACTCCTGGATTTGAATTTGGTTCAGCTCCCACTGGTAATAATGAACAGATGGAGGACAGCATGGCAGAGGACACAGTCCAGGAAGCCACACCTGCAGTACCAGTATTTGGTCAGCAACCAGTCACCCCTCCATCATCAGGGTTCATTTTTGGTGCAACACCTCCGGCAGGTGCAAATCCTTTCCAATTTGGCAGCCAACAGAATGCAGCTGCCCAACAGAACACATCTCCATTCCAGCCCTCTGGTAGTCTGGAGTTTAATGCTGGAGGAAGCTTCTCATTGGGCAGTGGTGGCGTTGACAAGTCTGCCAGAAAAATTGTGAGAGTTAAAAGCAGACAACGGAAGAAGTAAAAGCTTTGTTTATGACAGGAAACAGTTGATAGCTAATTGTTGTTGCTGGAAATTATTCCATGATTTGTGTTTCCGCAGTTGTGGCATGGGCAAGGAGATAAAGTTGTCATTTAACGCTATGGAAATATTCTGTTGTTGAGTAGTTCTTCGGTAGTGGTTGACACTGGCTGTGAGGGTGGCGGCTGCCGGATTACTTGTTCACCAATTTTGTACTGTGTTGTTAGCAAACATCAATCCTTTGAAGTGTAACAGTATATCAGTTGATAGGATTATATCAAGTTTGAGCAATTGTGCTTTTGACCACCTTGATGGGTGTAACTCTACAATGTGTATCATAGAAGAAGCGATATGAATTTGTTTTACAAGAGCGGCCGGTTAATACTTTCTGTTCTTTTTCATCTTTGAGGTGAGAAAAATTTGTACATGGGGCATCTCTAAGGTTTCAGTGTTTGATTAATAAACGTATTGTTAAACAAATTCCTCAATTTATAACATCTAAGTCACCATTTGTTGGATACAGCTCTTGTATTATCGATTCCATACACTTTCAAATTTTATTTCTTCATAGTTCTGGTGAATAAGAATCAGACAGTGTGTTCCTTGACTTTAATATGGTTATTAAATGCGAGGGATATAATGTAAATTTTAATTTTATTAAATTTATTATATAGTATTAGATGTTTGATCTTTTAAATATCAAAATGTTTTAATTTTTACTTTTTTGATATATTATATATATATCCATAATGAAATAATATAAAAAATAATTTTATTAATGGTGTTTCACTAAAATGCTTTTGGTTTTTGAGATTGTACGACTTTTATTCAATATATGAAATTACAACAATTGGATTATACCATAAAGATCAATAAAAGTACTAATTCAAAATGTAATTATATGATTTTTTTTGAGATTTTAAATTAAGTAGTAAACTTTTTTTAAAAAAATAAATATATGAATCTAACCCCTTTTTTTTTATTTAAGGTTCTATTAGATGAAAGATTTTTTAGATAGTGATAGTGAAAAATGATAATCAAAATACAGTAAAATTTATTTATTTTTGAATATTTAAGAAACTTTATTATATTGAGTGAAATTTACATCAGACCAAAGAAGACCACAAAACTCAAAAGGAGGAGAAGTTGCCCAATAAACTGGGCAGAGTCCTTCAGAGTACGTTTTGTTACTCAATCTATTACTTTATTAGCTTGCCTGAGGATACATTCAAAATGCCAATATGAAAAACTTGCAGGGATCGACAAGATAGAATAGTGATGATGATAATAAAAATGATGATTTTAATTGAAATAAGGTGAAATTCATATTTTTAAATAAAAAATAATAAAATTTATATTCTGATAAAAAATAAAAAATTATTATTTGATTTAAAAATCTAAAAATTTTATGTTTTTAAATAAAAAATAACAAAGTTTATGTTCTTATTTGAACATCTTCTTGTAAGAATGATTTAGAATCCTTTCAAGAGCTAAAATTATGACAAACAACTTCTAAAAACAGTGGTGGCCTTTATGTGCACTCTTGTATAAATTGAGGTTGTTCCCATCAGCAAAAGCTAACAATTTTGTAAATTTTTTCTTGTTCTAATTCTAATGGTTGGTTTTGAGTTTTCCTTAGATTAATGTCAAATAAAATCATCAAACCTTTAAGAAATAGATAAAGAATATTTAAAATCTTTAATTGTATCAAATATTACATTAGAAAAAGATGTAAATAAGTCATTTCAAATAATTTTAATCAATAAATAAGTTTTTGATAAAACTATAGTAGCAAAATTCAGCTCTTATACAGTTAAGGATAATATATAAGAAATTTTATTTTTCACCTTAGTACTTATTGAGGTATATAAAAAAATTAAGATTAATGCATTTAGTTCAAAAAAAAAAAAAATGAAATTGAGACTCCAAATGAACCATAAAGGACACCATTTTTTTAGCTATGGAAAGTTTTATTGTTTTCTTTTTTTTTTAGTTAGTTAAAACACGTTTAGAGTGTGTTTGGATAAAAGTAAGTAAAGAAAAGGGAAGGAAAGAGAATGAGAGAAAAGGAGAGGAAGAGTTAATAGTAACTTTGTTTGAATAATTTAAAATAAAGGAAGGAGAGGAGAGGAGAAGATTGTATTTTTTA